CGTACTTTCTCAAAGCTCTCGTGATCTGTAGATATGTACTGTTGTTTTATTGACTTCCAGCAGGCATTTGATCGTGTTAAGCACTCTATATTAATCAAAATTCTAAGACACATTGGCCTTAATGCCAGAGAGACTCGCATAATTGCAAATTTCTATTGGAATCAAACAACATCAGTTTTAGTAGACGGTTTGGAATCACAGGTTTTCATTATTAAAAGAGAAGTACGGCATGGATGCCTCTTGTCGCCCCTGCTTTTTATCATATACTCCTAAAGAATTTTTAAAAATGCACTTTCTGAAAAAAAAAGAAGGAACCATTGTGAACGGTAAAGTCATCAATAATTTGCGATTATGCAGACGACACAAAAGGTACTCCTAGCATCTACTCAAGAAAATCTGCAAACATTACGTGAGAGTGTCGTTGAGAGCTGTGAGAAACCAGGTCTGAATCTAAACAAACACAAAATAAAAATACTCGTAATAAGTAAATAACAGAATATAAGACCGTCTATATATGTAAATAGTACCAAACTTGAGCAAGTTGATCAACTTATTTTTGGATACCAGTTAAACTGTAATGCAGAGAGTCACAGTGAAATTAGATCCAGAATTGAGCAGGCCACAGCCGCTGTTAGAAGGATGTCCAAGTTATGCGAATCCGCCTCCTTTGCTGCTACGTGTTCTCGCTCTTACTTTATGGTGTCGTGTCGAGAAAGATTTCATGGTTGAAGAACTTGCGAAATTGATATGGTATTGATACAAGGATGCTAATAAGGGTGGCAGTGAATAAAATTAAAATAGCTTTAATAGTAACCAACATTCTGAAAGGACGTGGTACATGAAGAAGAAGAAGTTAATATATTACATAAATATACTGGAAAGAAAGGGACAAATAATGTTAATAAAGTTGATGCTAAATCTTAAACCGTTATCAGTATAGCCAAATTATGTACTTTAAAATTGTTCTTAACGTGTAATAAACAATATTATACATATTCTTTATAATATTTTAAACTTATTTAAAAATAATTACCGAGATATTATTAGGACTGTTAATCATTGCTAGAGAACGTAATTACTTCGTAGCCAGGTAGACTGATGTTTCCAAAAAGACAAATTTTATGTTATTATTGCATGCACCTTGCCAAAAAATATTAAACTTGACCCACACATCATGCTTTTGACTCGTGTACGTACTAATGTGATATAAATATTCGATTTAAATAAGAGACTATTAAGACAAATAATGCTAATGCAAATATTATTTTATTAGATTATTCTGAAACGATGTGTGCCAAAATAAAGGATCGTAAAATCTAAAAAAGACGCAAAATAGTACATGATGTCCACTGTGTATTACTTGAATGATTTTTTCACCAAAGTCCAATTTTTTCATTTTATATCTCAGTTTGTTTTATTTTTAATTATTTCCACAACGGTTTGATATATATTTTTTACACATCAAAATCCAATCTTTCTCTAAGAAAGGGTGTAAGTAATTTCTTTCGATATTATTCCTTTATTTTCTTCTCTTCCATCTTTTTTTATACAAATATTCTAATACAAATTAAAAAATTTGATGGCCAATTTTTCCAGTTTATCAAACAATACAAAAGCTTAGTGTTGTAAATAGACAGCATTAGGTATTCATCCGTTATAAAATTGGTAAATTAAGTATCAATATGAAACTATTAAAATCAATAGCTTTTTGTAAACCTTCCAGTAGACTCAGTTTAATTTTGTGTATCAGTAGTCACAATCGGTCTACTACACCGGTCCTAAAAATAATCCTCTGGATGCATTTTGTTTAAATTTTAATAAAATAATCTATTGTTTCTAGTTTTTTTTTAAATTATTTAGTAATATTGACATATTTTGTTTATTTAAAATATTTATTTACGTAGCATAAAAAATAGTCCACAATATAATTTGTACTAGTTTGATTTATTCTCTTTTTTACTAAACAAATTACAGTTAATTTAAAATTTGAATATAACATATAGATAACATATAGATAGTGTGTCTTGGGACAATAGTTAAAATAATTTATTGTTATAGTTATGATTTTCGAGATTGAAATATAAAATAGTTTTAATTATATTGTGCTTCATTTCCTAAAATAGTTGTTAATATAAAAGTTTGCTAAAAATATATTAGTTTGTTGTTGTTACCTTCCTACTCTTCTCACCGTCTCCCAGAAGAAATTAATATAGGTACAAAGTTCTTATTTTATAAATAGATGATCAATTTTGCTCCAATGAAAGGTGCAAATAAAGAAACGTAAATGGAAATTTGAGTGTAGTTTGAAAAAACCTAACTTGAAAAAGTGTAGAATCTAAATGATACAAAGTATAAAAACTACATAAAAAATATTGTCTTGATTGCTAGAGTTTGGCAATCATATTTATTTTTCTTGCCAATTATGTTTTACAACTTACAAAAAAAATGTTTGTACATAGCATATTTATGAATCACTTCTGGGTTCAAAATTATCTTACACTAATAGCCTGTATGTCAGCAACACTTGTTGAAAAAATTGTTTGCCAAATATTTTAATGAACCATTATATTGTTTATGTAAACAAAAGAGTCTTTAGTGATATTTAGTAAAATTGCTTTATATATCTACTCAGCCTGTATATTTTAAAAAAAATTGTAAATTAAAAGTCTTTTGAAAGTCCAAAATTGCCATATTTTGAGTAAAATTATGAGAGGTTATAGGTGAGATTGATACAAAATTCTTATATTTCTGTGACTAAAGATACATCTTTCCATTGTACTCTGTGCTCAATATCTCAGGCTTGTTTGCATATGTGGGTTATGCCAAAGTCTCTGTTATAATGCGATGCATGCTCATTTATCCTAGCATTTAATGGTCGTCCCATAGAGCTTTCTTCCATATAAAAATTGTTGCATTTACAAGGGATTTTATGCATGGAGTTCTTTTATCTCTCCTGTGTGTTCTGGATTTGGTTTTGGAAAGAATAGATCAATGTGTTGGTTGTCTTAACTGTTGCTGTGATGTTAACTTTATATCCTATCCTTTTTAAATTGTCTCATCAACTCTTTACATATGGTATTGTTATCGTCAAATCCCTTATTGTGGGCATTTCTGGATCATTTTTGCTGTTTCGTTGTTTCCTTTCTTCAATCTTATGAAATCTCTTGTTTATAAATAACAATATTCAGTCATTTTTTGTTAAAATCTTTTTTATCAGGATTTTTCTTATTGAAATGCATTTCCATTGGAGGAGGTGTCTTGGGCTTTACCATTATAGTGATTTCATGGATTCCTTTTTGATATTTATGTATTACTTCATTATTGGTTTTCTCCGCCTGGGGTAGTGGTGTAAACTGACTGGGTACATTGAGTAGCTCAGAAGGTTGAATTGCTATCACCATTAGTCCTAAGCCGGGATAAAGGGAGAGAGAGTCTTCAGCAAGGTTAGCACCCTACTCTTCTTAGAGCGCCGTCTCCCTACGAAGTTTGGCAATGATAATCCCTATTTTTATTTTTTAACTTGCTATTCTAAAGAAGTCGATCGATCATCGCGTAGATTCTTCAGTCAACAACGCCACCTGTTGACGTATTAACAAAACATAACAAACTTTTGACAGGCCTGTCAAATTTAAAAGAAATATTAATTTATGATAAGATATAAATTAACATCAGTTGATATTTTTATTTATTAAATAAATACTAGCTGAACCTGTGAGCTTCGTACCGCCCTAGAAATAAATAATGTATCTAAAAAATTAACAAAAAATAAAGCCAAAAAAACTCAAACATATTATGCTTGAAAAAAGTTGAATCAATTTAATATTTTCTTATAAAAATACGTTTATTTTTTTGCGTTAAATAAATATACAACTATGGCGGTTTTACAACAAGCGAATAATTTTCCATGCGGAAAACATGAAAACTCTAAGTTACCTCCGCAAACCTCCAATGGTTGGCTTTGTGATTTGTTTATTGTCATTGTAGAAGTCAAAAGCACGGAAAATTGTAAACGTTTCAAATCAAATGGTACGTTCGTTGAAATCATCATTATACGCGGGATCAAGACATCCTCTCTATATTTTCTATATTTCTCTCAAGACTATATTTTCCATGATAATCGTTGTCGCAATGATATTATTTATTAGCCTTTTTATAGTCATTTTATTGTACAGTCGAGGTTAATTAAGGTTACGCAGAGTAATGACAACTGATCCTACTTTTAATTGTAAATTGTTAGGTGGGAGTCCAGGCAATTCCAATGAATTCCAAAACTCGATAGGATAGTTGACTACGGCATAGAAATTTATAACTACGTCAACTGATTGGAATGAAAACAACTTTCCTGGAATAAACTTCAGGTAGTATATTCAACTGAATATACAAATAAAATTTTATAATAATCGGTCAAGCCGTTTCGACGGAATGTGGCAACTAACTCTGTGAAATTAATCATGTCATAGAAGGGTAAAAATTAATGCCACGTCATAAAAAAAATAAAAATAAAAATTTTGTCCAAAAAATAAAAAAAAGTGTTTGTGATGGACTACCCTTACCCTTTATAGATATGAAAAGTAGATCACGACCGTTTCTCATAGCTACCAATATAAATATAAAATTTCATCAAAACCGGTGAACCGGTTTAGGAGGAATATGGCAACTAAGAGTAAGTAATAGAGGGGTGAAAATCAAGAGCTATTGTATTTATTAATGCCACATTCAAATAAAAATAAAAAATGTCGTAAACAATTGAACATATGATCTGGATTTCAAGGTTTTAGATTTTCAAGATTCATTGTAGAAAACTTCATATTTATCAAACAATGAAATGAAAGAAACATAACACTAATTCAAACTTAAAAAACTTAAATGATTGTGTCTATAACCACAGAAACTTTGCTTTCCACATCATTCATATTTATGTTCATGTATAATGTTATATCTAAGAAATTATATCCATATTCTATTGACACTGATATTCATAGCTAACATTTTTGTTTCAGGATAAATTTACCAAATAATGATCAACTTTGTACAGTCGACATCGAAAAGAAAGAATATTTTCCTCATGAACATAGAGAAATTTTACACCCAAATACGTAAGTCGAAAATTTTTTGTTCCCAGTTTACTATAAAGAGTTTAAATAATTTTTTAAAAATTAAAATATTTGAGGGTGAATGTTTTCCAAATATAACCGAAAACTAGCATATTATTTTGGTTATTTAATTCAATTGCATGAAGCCATAAGAAGTCAGGAGACTTCTCTTTGATTTGCTAATAAGACGAACTGCAAATCCAAGCTTACCTACTGGAAGCTGTTGGACGATGAGAAATAACCATGTATTCCGACAATACATCTACAGTTTACCCTTGAAAATCATCTTTTTCACTCTTTGCGCAGAGAAAAGTTGTTGAGATGAAATGAAAGTAGACGATTCCATTTCCTTTCAATTCAAGCTCCACATGCAAATTTCTTTAGTAGTATTATTTATATGTAACTATTTACACAACATAATATGATCTTGGCAATATTTCGACAACCAATCCCATGGAACATATTGTATGAGTTGGTTGATTCGGCCACATTATAGCGTGGACCACATTCGTAATATAAAAAAGACCCTAATAACAAAAATAATCTTGTGTATCGTTTCTTATCAATAGAACAAGCCATAAGTTGCTCGCATACACTTGTCTGAGAGAAAGTTTATATGCTGATACATTAGCAAAAAAATTACAGTTACTTAGACTTACAAACACTTCTTCTTCAGGAAACTCGAAATCCGAATATTTCTAATTGTCGAAACGAAATTCAGATTTTTGATTTAATCTGTGCCTTCTAAGAATTGCAAGGCAAAACAGACGTTGAAAAAGAGGTAATTAGAAAAATGGGGAATCTAAAATTACATTCCATAACATATCTCCTCAACTAAGCAAAAATCCTTGGCGAATTGGTTTCTAGTACTCATAAAGAGTATATCGAAATAAAAGGACAGACAGTTTAGATTTGATTACACGTATAGTGCCTCTATATATCCGCTTATACATATTTCATCCTAAAAGAAATCTTCGGAGAGGCTATTTACAGATGCTCTGGACGAGAAAACAATATTTCCTGTCATAATAAAAGCTACACTAAAATGGCTTTCATATGGACGCAATAGCGACATCTGATAATAAATCATGAAACTCGAAATCCGAAAATTTCCAATTGTCAAAACCAAATTCAGATTTTTACTTTAATCTGTGCCTTTCGTGATTTATTATCAGATGTCGCTATTGCGTCCATATCGAAACCATTTTAGTGTAGCTTCTATTACGACAGGAACGTTTGTTTTCGCGTTCAGAGCATCTCTAAATAGCCGCTCCGAAGATTCCCTTTAGGATGAAATACGTATAAGCCGATATATAGAGGCACGATATGTGAAATCAAATCTTAACTGTCTTTCTTTTTACACTTCTTCTTCTTCTTTAAATGCGTCTCTAATAGAGGTTGGTGATGACTTCTGCAAATGCATCTAGCCCAAAGCTATTTTGGGCTTTTCTTAGTTAGTATTAATGTTTAACATGTTAAACATGTTATTTATCGTCTTCCTGGACATAGTGTTCCATTCATTTTTAGTTGAAAGATGTTATATCTAGGGTGTCTGAATATAAGATCCAAGATAAGATGCTTTCCATTTTTTTAGTAATGTCTACAAGTTTTCGTTTTCTATTCATACGTATTAAAACTTCTTCATTTCTACCATAGTCAATCCGTACAATTTTTAGAATACAGTGAAATGTCAAAATCTCAAAGTTTTTCAGGCATCGCGTCGTAACGAGCTTTCGTCCAGGCTTCCATGACGTGTGGTAGAACACCATGTATAGAGCGTTATATTATGCGATATCGTAGAGTTAGATCAAAACCTCGGATGGTGAAAAATATTTCATTTTTAGAAATGCGTTTCTTTCCTTTTCTTTTCTACATTTAACTTCTTGTTCTTATAATTTATAACAAACTTACTAATAGAATGTAGCAGGTCCTGGTTACCAATACTTAAAGAAGAAGTCAGTAATAGATAAGGATATAACACTTTTAAGGAGTGAATAGACACATCATTTATAATTACCGTCACCTTTCACAATTACTTTTCTCACAATATTCTATTGAAAACCATTCCCGGATTGAAAATCGAAACTTGAAAACCAATGTAAAATATAATTCTCATTACAATCAATTGTGGTTTAATCTCATATAAAACAATATTTAAAAATCAGTTTTATAAAAAAAGTAACTAATATTTCCGCACTAGTTTTTAATTTCATAATTATAATTTTATGTTTTAGATATTTTGGAGCGGTTGTACATATAATAAAAGGCTCATTAGGAATAGGAATCTTCTCAGTACCTAGAGCTTTTAAAACAGCTGGGTTACTAGTTGGAACCATAGGAACTATATTTGTAGGCATCTTATGTACATACAATGTGCACTTATTGGTAAGTTAAGTAAATTTTATATAGTCACATTTGTCTTTAATACATTTAGAATGAGCCACCGTTAGTTACTAATATATACATTCCTCATTTGCATGTACGAGTACAATATTTATATAACCACTTTTTATTATTATTACTTATTATTTCTTGAATATCTTCCTTTGTATTCTCTATTATGTTCCCCTTCTATCAGAAATTGGACATCACCAAGGATATTCTTATTATTTGTTCTTATTATTTGTTCTATTCTTATTATTTGTTCTAAGTTAACACTAATTAAAGCAGTAAATATATTGATACGTTTTTTTAATATATTCGACTGATCCATAAGCAATAAATTATTAACTCAAACTAAACACATCGCAAAATTCGAGAAATATTTTTATAAATAAATTTATAAGTGAAAACTTCTATAAGCAGGCAAAACAAAAATATGTTTTTTGTTTTTTTATCAAGTTTTAATTAAGGGCTTAAACAGATTCTTATCGAAATCATTTTTTTGCCCGTCCTCCATCCATCCGTATGAGCAATAATTCTAAAGTGAAAATTCCCAAAAACATTGTACATTGATTCCTTTTAATATAAGAAAGCAATATACTGAATATATGAGCAGTTACTTTTCTTACGATTTGTAGCTTCAAACATTCTCGATATGCCTTTTAGTTTAAACTTTTTTCAGCGATAATCTAAATAAAATAGAAATCCAGATTTTTCATTAAGATTGTAGACCAATAAGTTTAATTCTAGTTTTAAAATTCTTTGCTCCAATCTTATCTTACAACGTGAATCTAAGTGATTTATGACTATGGAGATTTTTTACATATCTAAAGAGAAGAAAGAAAATCTACATACAGACACCTGTCAGTAACCTCTGTAGACAAAATTGTACCAGAACAAGATGCCAGAGGGAGTTAGACCTTTGGCACTTTGTTCCGTCACCACTCCGAGACGGTCGGCGTCCAACTAAAAACCTCTGTGTCTTCAGATATCAGGATGGAAGGGCTGGTGAACCCAAAACATCTCTCCTCATGCCCTGGTATCACCCGATTTTCCATACTTTCTCCCATACATTCATCCCATACATTCAACCACATCCATACGAACCACCAAAGACTTTCAATCCCCTGCCCTAGCAGGGCTCCCATCTCCCTCGCATCGTCTGTCTCTCATTTGCTCCTATTTTAGTTTGCGACACTCCGAACCCCACCGATGTGCTTCTTGCTCGTTTCAAACTTCTGTTTCGAGTTCCCTCTTCTCTCGTTCTTTTAAAGAGAGCAGTTGCTTAATAAATTTGTGGATCCGTGTCTGCTAACACTCATCCCTTATAATTTTTTTCACCATTTCTCTCACGGAATCAAATATTCTGGAGTTACACTCTCTTTCAAACTTCTCTCTTTCGTCCGTGTAACTCTGACACTTCAACATACTGTGTGTCACAGTATCCGAAAGACCACAATTAAGGCACTGATCGGACTGTGCCCTCCTAAACCTGAAAAGGTAGCTACGGAATCAGCCATGGTCTGTGAGCATTTGCGTAAGATAATAAACCAGCTCTCTATGTCCACAGTCCACCCAGCTTCGAAGATTCGGGATTATTGACTTCGTCCACTTCGTCACATTACGTGTTGCCTCCCACTCTTGCTACCTCTGACCTATTAAAACTAATCTCTCGGCCAATCTGATACAGTCCTGTAGGCACATGCTACCCACAGCAGACTGGTTTTGTCGACGCGTACCATGATGCTCTTGTAAGTTGGTATGTCTACCGCCTCACTCCAGACTGGGTCCGCGTAGAGGACCACAGACTGCGCAAAACTGTAAAGCTTTCTCTTCCTTTCGGATTTGGGTCCACCGATATTGGGCATTATCCTCCCCAGCATAGCCATTTTTTGAATAGCTCTGTGGGTCACCCACCTCAATGTTCCCCCTGACTATAGAAATTGGCTTTATCAAAACAATTTCTTGGTATATCTCGGTCTCACACGATTTGTGCATCTTGTAATCATAAACCAATTCAGGTGCTGTAGTTGAAGGTTATGCCATTTAGCGGTTAAAACTAAATATCGATATTCAGCTGCATCCACGTTCATACAAAAGAATAAAGAAAAAAACAGTCTTTTGAGTATCAGAAACCAAATAACGAGAAGTTCTTGCCTAGATAAATCTAAATGTCATGAAATGCAATTTTAGATTCCTTATGTCGTTCCATTCACCGTCTGTTTGCCTTGAAAATTGTAAAGATCCCAGATCCCTAAATCCCAGATTTAGATCTTAATCTAAGTTTGGTTTCGGACACTTAGATATCTTCGGTTGTCTAAGTTTCGTTTTTATTCTCAGATGGCGCCTGTAGCGTCTGTATGAAGTTATGTTATTATTACTATCACAAAAGATTTGATGTCACGTTCAGTGCTTCTACACCAGTCGTGTTGATGAGTCTTGTTAAGACGAAATACGTATAAGCGAATAGTAGACGCACTATATGTAAAATCAAATCTTAACTGTATTTTTATATCTTTACTTACTCGTTTATTTTAAGTACAAGAAACCAATTCACGAAAGGTTCTTACCTAGATAAATATAAATCGGTATGTCGTGGAATGCAGTTTTAGATTCCCCATGCCGGTCCATTCTTCATTTGTTTTCCTTGAAAATTGTAGAGGCACAGATTTAGGTATTAATTTAATTTGCTTTCGAACACTTAGAAATATTCGGTTTTCTCAGTTTTGTTTTTATTCTGAGATGACGCCTGCAGGTTTATTCAGTTTTGTCTTCATACTCAGATGGTATCTTTTCTATATCTAAATAAAGAAGAGTTTGGAATATGACAATTGGATGTTTTATATCGAAGAACTTTGCATGTTTTATATCGAAGAACAGTTAAATTTACTTTGCATATCATAATACACTTTCCCGGTTGTAAGTTAGCAACAACACATGCAATGAACTGACTCTTCAAAACGAGGAGAGAATCTGTAGAGCAAGAATCAACCAAATTTGCAATATTTCGACGATAATGATAATGACATTAGACCATGATGAAACAAGTAAATTATCCATCAAAATCTATATACAATTTATTTCGACTATTCCTTACACACTAAATAAAATTCATAACCCCTTCCTTATTCAACACTCAAACTCTACAATTTTAAAGTTATTTATATTAGAGGGTATTTCAAATCTAATGGCGAGCACTTCCACGAAATAATGTATCACGCAGACAATAGAATATCTATAATAAAAGGATAAGAGCCATGCAGTTGCGTTGCAATAAGTTGAGAAGATTGTTTTATATTTGAAACCGCACTGGCTTATTACAAAATTATTACTAACTTAAATAATAAATGGAGTTGGATTTTACACAAATTGTTTTATTGATACCAAACTTTTTAGTCAAATAAGCAAAATAGTGAAAATGTTCACTACTGACAGTGTTAAAAATTAAATATTTGTGATCGATTTTTTTTCAAAATTTTCTACATCACGTGTGCTAAAAATTTAACAGAAGTTTGTAATACCATCTTTAATTGATACTAATGGTAAAATTTGCCAAATTTTTAATTTGGTATCGGTTACCTTAAAACCGTGATTATAAAGTCAGTATAAATTTTTAATTTACTATCGGTTACCTTAAAACCGTACCTAATTATAAAGTCATTATTAATGACTCCTTAATGACTAATTAAGGATATAGAAAGAACTGATGAGAATTATTTCCGAGAATTTCTAGTCACTGTATATATTTCTAGTCACATAGTTCTAATACGCACAATACGCGTATTAGAACTATGTAGATGGTTAAATTTGGTACTAGTAAACAGATCAGATTGACACCAGAATCCAGAGAAATAGTTTGCAATGAATTTAAATATATACAAATACTAAAGATAATTGAACCAATATTAAACAACGTGTGAGCGAAGCGACTGGAGTATGTTTACGCACAGTATAAAGGATCATTCAATAAGCGAATATGTTAACAAACACAGGGTAAAATAATTCACTAACATTTCCAGCTACAACACTTGCTAAAAGCAAATCAACCGATACAGACTTAAGAGAGTACGACAAACAGTTTATTAGATATACGATTCAAAGTTTTCATGGGACTGAACATTATTGCATATCATTGAAGCTTTTGTAAAAAGAGGCTTGAAGAGGTGTACTGGTGGAAATGTGAGTTCTCTCTACAGAATTGTAAAAGATTTGGTACATAAATGTAATAAAACAAAAGATAATCGACGATCATTAATTGAACGGAAGGCCATTCCTACTCTACGAAGTATTTGGACAAAATTAAATATTACATAAGTGAAGGTAAGTCAATTGTATATGTTGATGAAACTTATATACATGCATGACACACTACGCCAAATAGCTGGGCAGATGACAGTGACAAAGCATTGTTCAAAAATATCTCAAAAAGAAGTAGCTTGGTTATCGTCCATGGTGATGGAGAGATAGTTTTCATACAGAATGCCTTTTGCTTTTTAAATCAGGAGCCAAAACATCTTCTTTGACTTGATTGACTGTAACGTCAATGTTAAAATCGCAATTGTATTAAATAATCAAACGACACAAACAAGATCATATTCAATATAAATTTGATAAAATACTGCACGATTGTGGATATGTTTCTTTAAAACGTCCGTCATATCATTCTTACATGAACCCTATAGAAATATAGATGCAAAATAAAATGTTTATTATAAGTTAGAAGACATAAAAGTGTTGGTGGAACAGGAATTTATAGGAGTAAGTGTAGATAACTGTAAAAGTGTGTGACATTTTGTCCAGGTCGAAGAGAGTATTTGGAAAATGAACTTTGTATAGATGTAATTACTGAAGAATTAAGGATTGATTTAAATGATTCTAGCGACGACGACAGTACATCTGCTTATTAATGCGAATAACATAATTTAACATTATGATGTATATGAATATAAGTTTTCAAGACTGTCCCATATGTTACTTTATAACCATCATTTTGTAAATTGTTC